TGTACTTGCACCTTGAATCTTTTAGGAAGAGTTGGATCTTTTAATTGAACATTAAAATTTGGAAATATTATTAAAACAACACTCCCAGCATTTAATGTTGTTAAGACAGATCCAACATCACTATGAGCATGTTGTCATCAGATCTGTCTGAACAACGTTAAATGCTGGGCGTGTTGTTTTAATTATTTCCAAATTTGAATGTTCAAGTAAAAGATCCAACTCTTCCTAAAAGATTCAAGGTGCAAGTATAGATTGTTGGAGCACCTCAAGAAGAAGCAGCATTGGCAGCCACTCTACATCATCAACTAATCTTCAAAGTGCAAGATCACTGTTATGATCTTCCACAGAAGCACAGTTTAAAGAAAATGCATTGATGGTTATTGCCAACTCAGAAGACCAAGTACCCACTGTTGTCCAAATCCCCAAGCAGATCTCTCAAGGAGATCTAGAACAACTGATTCCACGAGAGTTGATCAGTAGTTATGAAAGCTACAGGAACAACCAGAAACCTGTAGTTGCTACAAAATATTCTTATCAAAGAATGAAAGATGGTTCTGTCAAAACCATCTTCAAGAAAAAGAATTCCACTAAGGCCTCTACAAGTGATGCTGTTTTGAACACTATGATGATTTCCCTTGGAGAAAAGGAAAACACTGCTCCCATCTATGCTTTTTAAAACAGATGGAAGTTCCATTTATTCTGATAAAATAAATGGACACTTTATGTAGGATACAACACCAGAGATGTGCGACCTTGACTGTGACTGTTGGATGGACTAGAGTAATGATTCAGACAACGACTCAGATAATTCTGATTCTAACAGAAAAGATAAATGTAGACCTCCACCACAGTATAGAAAGCCTCTTCCCAGAAGACAACCATGGGTGGCTTTTACAACACCTCCAAAGCCCTTACCAATTTACGATCAGGTTCTAGAAATTCTCAGAAAAGATAAAAGAAAGTCTTCTCCTCCACCTCCTGAAGAACCCTCACTGATCACTTGGCCTCCTCCTGAAAAGTGTAACACAAGTCAAAATTATTACAGTACAATTTCTCCTGTACAAAGAACAGAATTTTGCATGATGACTTCCCAAGAATAATTTCCACCATTGGAGAGAAGAACTACTCCAATAACCAGAGTAGACGTTAAGCCCTTTGTGACAAAGACAGAAGTTACCACTGATGGAAGGATGAAAGCTCTTTCTCAAGCAGAGGAACTTCTAAATTGGCAGACAGAAAATGCTTTAGCCCAAAATACATGGCTAAAAGATTAAATCAAAAGATAGAAAAGATGCATATATCTATGGATCAAGACATCAAGCTTCTGTCCACCAAGTTATAGACCTACCATCAAGAACTAAAGACAAAGATTGGACAACTGGAGAAAGAAATTCCAGAAGTCAAGGGAATCCATAAACTCAGTATGGATATTATCAACAAACAACAAAGCCTAGACAAAGCTAAAGAACAATATGAAGAGCTTGTTCGGCTTGTTGAAGAAAAGAAACATCCTCCTATCTTAGAGGATGATCCATACTATATTAGACCAACAAGAATTTTCCCAAGAACTAGTTCAGGTCCAGCCATGTCTACTCCTCTGTTTCCACCAAAGAAGACACCAATTATCACTAATCCTTTTGATTGGAGTAGAGCAAAAAAAAGAAAGGCAAAATCTCCAGAAAAGACACCTCCACCAGAACCATCGTCAAAGAAAACTGAAGTAGAAACATCTTCATCAAAGAATTCCCCAGAATGTACAGAAGATTTTCCTACTTAGTCATTAATGATAAACACAGAAGAAGATGATACAGAAAAAGTTCCATATATAGAAGAAGAATCTGAGAAAAACTTCTCTACAATGGAAGATACTTCTTCAGAAAATTATTTTGAACTAACAGAGACTACGGTTGAAGCAGACCTAAATTTTGAAGAGGATACCAGCCATATTCTTGGAACATTGATGGCAACCAAAACAGAAAGAGGTGGTTTTCATAGCAAAGAGATCAATACTCCTGCCCCAACAAGTTCTCAACTGTTTTCTCTTGATCATATACCACCATCTCAATGGAGAAAGAAGTTCTTAAATTTCAAAGCATGGTTAGATGCAAAGATGGTTCATCCTGGTGCAGATCAATATAAAGTTATTGAAGAATTCTATGCAAATATGACAGGTACCTTGAAAGAGTGGTACATGAGTTTGGGACAAGTAAACCAAGATAATCTTCATAGAACCTCCATTGATGAATTTCTTGGAGGACCCCAATATCATTTCCTTGGAGAATCAACTCTCCTTGATCAAATTTCTCGAAGAGAATATTTTGAAATGAGATGTTGCTCTTTGGAAAAAGAAGATCTTGATCGACATTATCAAAGAATGTCCCACAGATTTTACCAGCTTAATGGTATGAATGAAGCCAGTCTAAAAAATACATATGTTAGTTCCCTTCCAGAAGAATTACAAGAAGAGATGTGGAGAATATTGCAACAATCAAATAAGGATGTTCTCCAAATGACTATGGGAGAAATTTATCAGACCAGTATTGCTGCTTTGGACAAAATCTGCAATCAGCAGAGAATGTTCAAAAAGATGATTGACGAACAACCCAAGTACAAGCAAGTATGCAAGAAGGGATATTTGCAAATCAAGTGCAAAGACTCCACTTGCCACAACAAAAATAAATCCAGCAAGAAGAGGAAGTTTAAACCTTTCAAGAAAAAAGGAAGGAAAAATTTCAAATTCTTCAAAAGAAAACCCTTCAGAGGAAAGGGTTCTAACAATAGATGTTTTATCTGTGGACGAAGAGGACACTTTTCAAAAATTTGTCCTAACAAGAAAAAAGCCACAAAGCTGATAAACACACTCAAATTGGAAGATGAAGATGTAGAATCTCTGTTTGATGAACAAGAGAATCCAGATGAATCAACAGTTTTTGGCATCACACATTCAGAAGGAGATACTGATGGCTCCTTAGAACAATCTGACTACACTGATGATGAGTACAATTATTTCCCAATACTGAAAACAGAAGAGGTGTGTTTTCAAAAAGAAAAAGAAATTTCATTATTTCCAAATGTTGAAGCACTCATCTTGCCAACAAAATATCATGTTCCTATCAAAGTCATTGCATTCATTGGTACTGTTGCATCCAGAACAATGCTCAATCCTGCAATATTACCTTCGAAATTATGGACAACTCAAGTTCATAAATTTATAGCTGCAGATGGAAAAACTTATCAGACAGATTTAGTCACATCCTCCAAGATTGGAATTAAACCATTTCCAGACTGTACAGTTTGGATGAAAGTTATTGGAGATAGTCTTCATGGAAAGTATATTCTCATTGGCAGAGATGTTTTAGTCCAGAGCACGAAGTTACAAATTCTTGCTCATGGATTGAAATATAGAAGAGAATTTAAGCCTTTTTGCAAAATTTCAAATATGTTCTCACTAGCAGAAATCCCTCTAGGATTTGAAGATATTAGAAATCAATTCAAAAACCTATATGTTGATAGTCATGATCTTTTCAAACATCCACAACCTTTATGGATAAGAAAAGAATTCTTTGTTCAACTTCCTTTCAAAATGAATGAAGATATCAATCCAACCAAATCTAGTCACCCTGGAATGACACCAAGTGAATACCAAGCAGCCAAAGAAGAATGCCAACAATTGCTGAAACAAGGACTTATTGAGCTCACTAACTCAAGTTGGGCATGTACGACATTTTATGTGAATAAAAGAGCTGAACAAGTCAGAAACAAAAGGCAACTTGTCATTAACTATAGACCTTTGAACATATTTCTAAAGGATGACAAATTCCCTTTTCCAAAGATATATTCACTTCATGCCTACATAAAGGATGCATACTATTTCTCAAAGTTTGATCTTAAATCTGGATTCTGGTAGATTGGCCTAGATCCTAAAGATCGACCTAAAACAACTTTCTGCATCCCAAATGGTTATTACCAATGGACAGTCCTTCCATTTAGCCTAAAAGTTGCTCCTTCATTGTTTCAGAAAACCATGGTTTGAATCTTTGAACCAAATTTGCATAGTGCTTTGATCTATATTGATGATATACTACTCTTCTCTCCCAGTGAAGATAGTCATAAGAAGCTCCTACAATAGTTTTATCAAATCTGTAACCAGTATGGAGTGATGCTTTCATCAAAGAAATCTGAGATCGAAGTTAAAGAGGTTAATTTTCTTGGTATGCATTTTGCTTATGGAAAATATGTCCCACAACCTCACATTGTAGAAAGACTCCCAAAATTTCCAGAAAGAGATATGACAGTCAAAGAAGTTCAACAATTTTTGGGAATTATCAATTATGTCAGACATTTTATTCCCAACATTGCTCCTCACATTTCAGAATTGTCAAAACTACTAAAAAAGAATCCCCCTCCATGGGGATCAGCCCAAACAGAAGCAGTAAAAATTTTGAAAAAGATTGCTCAAAATGCTCCTCCGCTAAAAATTCCTGGCGAAGGAAAAAGAATTTACAAACAAATGCAAGTGACAATTATTGGAGTGCAGTTCTGATTGAAGATGTCCAAGGACAACAGTTCTTATGTGGATTTGCTAGTGGAAAGTTTAAAAATTCAGAACTTCATTACTACACCATCTTTAAAGAAACTCTAGCAGTCAAATATGGAATTCAAAAATTTGACTTCCATCTCAGAGGACATCAGTTTGAAATCCAACTAGATAATTCTGCATTTCCACGAATGTTAGAATTCAAAAACAAGGTTCCTCCCAATGCACAAATACTCAGGCTAAAAAAATGGTTTTCCAGGTATGATTTTACAGTCAAACATATCAAAGGAAAAGATAATGTTATTCTAGACTACCTCTCTAGACCAAAAAAAACCTGAATAACATCAAATAAGTATAATATCTTTGGATTATACTTATCCAACGATTTTAATGAATGAACCATCATCTTCTCAACCTAATCCTTGGAAGAAACAATTTCCTTTAGAAATTACACCAGACTTCCCTATTTCTCCTGCAATCTTACAACAATTTGCCAGACAACATATGTTTTCTTATCTGGCAGCCTCTCTGCACAAACACCATATTCCACCCAAACCAAACTGGTTTAATCCTGACACACCTTTTCTAAACATCTTTGGCATTTTATTGGGAAAAATATTTCTCGAAGATGATATGTGGTATTTATGGAGCGTCTCTTTACTCCATCAATATCCATTAATCTTTCCTACCCAAGAAATGATTGATTTTCTGCAGAACATAGAAAATGAAGGTTCATTATTATGGAAATTTCTGTACTGGTATGAACCCATACCAAAATGGATTGAAGACTTTGAAGCTGAGAGAAGTAGGATCCAACAACATCATGGTCCTAGCCAATGGGACTTAGAAAAAATGGTTATCATTACCATTATTCATCGTCCATATTTTAAACATCCAAGAACAAAATTATTATGGACACAAAACCAGGTTCAAATGTGGTCTACATATCCAAATTTTCAAATATTTACTCAGGAAGATCAACCACCTTTTTATCAGAGTGAATTGATCATTGAACTTCACAGGTTAAATGGAACTTTTGATGAAGTTGTTAACAGAAGTTCTACATGTGCTAACCTAAAACCACTAGACATCATTTGTCCTCCTGAGCCAGATAAAATTATTACAGTGTTTCTAAGAAATTTTGTCCACCAGTCAATACAGTTCCAGGAGAACAATTCATTCTTCAAAATGTTGATACTCGTGGGAAAATTATTATGCATGAAGATAATGCATATTACCTTGACAGTCCAACCTTATCTCAAGTCTACAGCTCAGCTTCTGATTCTAATAATACAGACCCAAATTTGTCACCAAGTCATGAGCCTATCTTCAAGGACTGATTAATGGGAATTTCTGACCATCACATAAAGCGTGTGAAGATAATAAGGAACCTTATCCTGATAAAAAGCATAACTGCATGATGCAACCAGCTGTGTGTACTAGTTTGTCGTTTTGTGTCGGCAGATGTGATCTAACATCTTTAGCCAAAATCAGTATGAGTCATTGTACTATAAAGTATAAGTCATTACTCTAATGGTCTTAAACTTGCTTCATGAGGATTTCATGTCCGCAGCCCGACTCCTCTATATAAGCAAGACCCTGTAATGTTGAGAGGCAGAGAACCTCAACCATAAATAAAACCTTTGTTTTATATTATGAGTTTCTAAACACTTCTCTCTTTCCTAAAAGTTCTATTCTTGTAATTATGTCTTAGACTTCCTTCTGTGAGAGAATACTTTGCTCTACAATTAGATATAGAGTATGTTCTGCACTTGCTATGAAAATGGATCATGTGCATCAGAAATATATCTGATCAATGATCCTTTTGAACGGTCCTTATTGTTATTAATGTTATTATTAAAATTCTTGTTATCAATATAGTTATGATCAAGAGAGTAACAGGACCGGAGAAAGTACGCTAAGTGTGCGGAAAAACTCGGTTATAAAATCTTGATTATCATTATACTTAATGATAAGAGTTTTATAAAGATATTAATGACATATAAGGCTCCCATCTAGAATGGAATATATATATATATATGGAGCATATCAAGTGAGAGAGAATTTATTATGAGAGATAAGAGGGTTAAAATATAACCCAAGTGAGAGAAAATTTGGGGTTTAATCAAGTGAGAGGAAATTAATCTAAGAGTTATATTTTAACCCTCTCATCTCTCATAATAAATTTCCTCTCACTTGATATGCTCTCTCTCTCTCTCTCTCTCTCTCTCTCTCTCTCTCTCTCTCTCTCTCTCTCTCTCTCTCTCTCTCTCTCTCTCTCTCTCTCTCTCTCTCTCTCTCTCTCTCTCTCTCTCTCTCTCTCTCTCTCTCTCTCTCTCTCTCTCTCTCTCTCTCTCTCTCTCTCTCTCTCTCTCTCTCTCTCTCTCTCTCTCTCTCTCTCTCTCTCTCTCTCTCTCTCTCTCTCTCTCTCTCTCTCTCTCTCTCTCTCTCTCTCTCTCTCTCTCTCTCTCTCTCTCTCTCTCTCTCTCTCTCTCTCTCTCTCTCTCTCTCTCTCTCTCTCTCTCTCTCTCTCTCTCTCTCTCTCTCTCTCTCTCTCTCTCTCTCTCTCTCTCTCTCTCTCTCTCTCTCTCTCTCTCTCTCTCTCTCTCTCTCTCTCTCTCTCTCTCTCTCTCTCTCTCTCTCTCTCTCTCTCTCTCTCTCTCTCTCTCTCTCTCTCTCTCTCTCTCTCTCTCTCTCTCTCTCTCTCTCTCTCTCTCTCTCTCTCTCTCTCTCTCTCTCTCTCTCTCTCTCTCTCTCTCTCTCTCTCTCTCTCTCTCTCTCTCTCTCTCTCTCTCTCTCTCTCTCTCTCTCTCTCTCTCTCTCTCTCTCTCTCTCTCTCTCTCTCTCTCTCTCTCTCTCTCTCTCTCTCTCTCTCTCTCTCTCTCTCTCTCTCTCTCTCTCTCTCTCTCTCTCTCTCTCTC